GTTTAAGAGATCAGTGTATGCCCTCAGTGTTCTGTGTTTGTATTTGGCTGGCCCTACCATGGATGGCAGGATGGAGATTGCGGTTAGTAGAGCTCAGGCCTGTCTCAGCAGGATGCCGTGTCCGTCTCTGCTCAGGAGCTTTATGGCTATATTATGTGGCCAGCTAATAGAGAAGCTGGTACCACCCACCTCACTGATACTGCACATCCCTGACAACTGCCTTGAAGGCTGCCTGCCCTTGCAGGACGTAAGCCAAGAACCAAAGCTGGCGGAGCGGACACTCCAGCTCACCGCTGAGCCAAGCCAAGCAATGTCCTTCCAGATGCAACTGCACACATCAGCACCCGGCTGCCGCTCTTGTCTGTTCCTCTCCAAAGACAACCCTTTGCAGGGGGTGCATCCAGTTAGAGGTGTTGGTCTCTGGGCTTGTAGCAATGTCATGGTACCTGCCCCAGCACATCTCCCACTATCCTTTTTGCCCTTCAAGCAGGGCTCAGTCATGCCCACAGCCCCAAAACATTGGTAGTTCCTGGCTGACCTGGGCTCTCCTGAAGCACCAACCATTAAAGAGGGACCCAGCAACTGAACTCCCTTCTTGCTCTCTGAAAGGATGGCACGGGGCTTGACAGGTGACCCTGCTGTGTCAGGATGTGTTTGACAGATGGGCAGGCGCTCAGGGCTCTCCAGAGTTACCACTTCACAGGGACACTGAACGAGGGCTCGAATCCACGCTAAAGCTTTTCAGTTCCTTTCAATCCTCTGTACCTGCAAAAGGCTAAATTCCACCTTTGTTTATACTTCTGCCCCTCCCACTGAGATTTCAAGGGCATGTGGCTCACGGCTAAAGGTGGCCTATATACCTCAATGCCAAAAGGGACTGTCTCTCCCCAGTCTGTTTAAGCATTTGAGTTCTGATTTGCAGGAGCAGCCATGGACTACATCCTCAAGTCCTTTTAGAGAAAACAATTTCAGCTCTTTTCTTTTACAGGACCATTCTCTCAGCAGTGTAAATACAAGTAGGGAGGGCTTATTATGGATTACAGAGAAGAGTCCAGACTCAGGATATTTATACTGTAGGTTATACAGAGATATTTGACATAATGAAGGGATTAATGGATTTGGGGGAGTTACTTGTATTTTCTTTGCTTCCTCTGAGGAAGAAGTATTGCTGTTACCTTGGAACACAGCCTGAATGTGTCACTGCCCTAAAGGCAAGGAGTCCTGACCATAGTAACTTGTGCTGCTTGCAACATGTTTTATGGGGTGTGCATTGCCTCAGTGAGCTCCTACCTAGTGTTGTGATTCTGTCAGATCTCACAAAGTGGCACAGAAACCAGCTTTTGAGCTACACAGGAGACCTCCAAAAGACTGCTCAGCTCTTTAGGCCTTCCCACTCAGAGCAAGGGAATGCTGTGGCCCCAGGATGCTGCTTGGCCTCCATTACAGGTAGCAACTGAATGTCCTGGCTTGTGATGGCCATCACAGACCCACTGATGTGGGGATGCTCTTTTTGGTATCTTTTCCCCAGTCCATTCTGGTGTTCTCTGGGATCTCCAAACCACCATGATGTAAAACAGTTCACCATGTAACTAAACTTTTTTCTATTTTTTTCCTTCCTCCCTCCCACTTGTCCCTTCTGCTGTCCCCCTTCCTCCCCTTGCAGTGGCAAGCCATCTCTCTGACAGTCATTGAGAAGGTCCAGATAGCAGCGGCCATCCTGGGTTCCCTCTTCCTCATCGCCAGTATCTCGTGGCTCATCTGGTCGACCTTCAGTCCTTCGGCCAAATGGCAGCGCCAGGACCTGCTCTTCCAGATCTGCTATGGAATGTATGGCTTCATGGACATTGTCTGTATAGGTGGGTGAATGCATCTCATGGCACGGCAGATGTCACCTGCCTGCTGATGCCCAGAAGGGAGCGGGAAATGGCATGTGGAGAGCCGGCCTGCTCTGCTGGAATTGACCAGCTTTTCTGGCTGGCTTTTCTTCCTCCTTGCTTTTGTGGCATCTTTTTTTACAGTGCTCTCTGCCCGTCTCTGCAGCCCCGAGGTATCTCCTTGGTCAGGCTGGCAGAGGGACCTGCAGCAACTGCACAACCCCGCTGAGAGCCAAACCAGGGAAATTAATTTCTTTTTGGAGAGAGAAGGGGTCTGGGAGGACAGAGGTCTGGGAAGTGTGAGGCCATGGACTGAGACCACTGACACTGAGAATGACGCTCCTTTCCCTTCTGAAATAGGTAGCTTAAGGAGTGGCCCATATTTAGGTGCAACAGGGCCTGTTTTTCACCCAGCACAAATTTGCCCAAATGCTTTGCCCCCCTAGCCCAGTATCTCTGCCTGGCTGGGGTAGCTGCCCCTTCTGGAGCTGCAAGTCCCAAGTAGCCTGAGTCATGGCCCAGCCCAGGACCCTTGCCAGAGGGACAGAAACCTCTGCACTGAGCAGCTCTGAGCCAGCCAAGTGTGGAAGGAGGTCGGGATGTAGGTGAAATCTCTGCCCACAGCCAACCTGGGTGTCCTCCCAAGACCAGAGGCTGTAACCCCAGTGCAGGCTTGCCAGAAGGTGGGATATAACTGGTGATCCCTGATGGCTGAGGCACTCAGCAAGCCAGGCCACTGAAGTGTGGCATTTGACAGAATAGTCTGGTAAACATCAGCCATCTCCAGATGTGCTCCTGAGCATTGTCCAGCCAAGCAAAAGCTGCCAGTAACACTGATTCAAGTGAACCTGCCAGCAAGCACGGAGGGTCCCATAGAGTTACTTGTGACAGGTTTCCTCCATCACTGGTGTAAATGCAGAAGGCATAAATCCCAGAAACTCAGTGGGACAAGCCATTTCCCTTGATTGGTCAGATTAGTATTTGTATGTAGAAGCACTCCTGAGGAAAAGAGCACAGCTCCCAGTTCTGCCTCCAGGAAAAGCAGTACAGACTATATCGCAGAGCAGTAGAAGGTGAAATGCGGTTACAGAAGTAAAACAAACTCAGTCACGAGGAGAGAGACCTGAACAATACACCTCAGTGTCTGGGTTCAAATGGCTGTTGGCTCCAGGATCCAGCTAGGGTTGGACTTGGGCCTGTCAAAACCCAGACCAATCCTTCCCAGGATCGCCAATTCTGTGCTGGTAACCAGACATGAGCTCAGCCCTCAGAGGTCATCCTGCTTCTCCATGAGATGCTGGTAGAGTTGTCACATGTTGCCAGGAATGAGGAGTGTCAAAGGCAGGTGAGAGAGCATCATCTCTAGTGGTACATATAGCCAGTGTTGACATCCTCTTGTCAGTGGGCCTGGGACTGAAAACAAAATGAACCCTGTGCTGATGCAGGGTGTATGTGTGTGCCACCTTGTTGGCTGATGATAGCAGTGGGGCGCCTTGGCCTGGGTGGATGGCAGTAACATGATTAGTTGGCTTTGATAAAGCTTCAAGAGCTGGGGGGAACTGATTAGCTCATCTGTCAATAGAGCTAAATCCTCCCACATCGTTGGTGGAGAACAAAACATGCCAGCCATGAACTGAAGGGGAACCAGGCAGATACATTGGGATTTCAGGTTGTTTTTTTTCTTTCTTTCTTTCTTTCTTTTTATTTTTAAGTATCTAACGTCTGTTTATCCTGTCAAACTGCTCTGGGGGGAAGAAATCTCTTCTGAATCCCACTGATACATCCCCACTCTTAAGCTTAGTGCCCTAAACTGGGAACAACCAAAGAGCAAGTGGCCGTCCCCTTGCCAGATATGTCTCAGTCATGGCTTTAGGCAGCCCTTTCCCTTACAGATTTCCCTGCACAGCTGGAAGTGGGCTAGTATGGCCAGGGGGCCATATACTCAAAAGGGAGTCAGAAGGGGTCCAGAAGGAATGAGTTAACATGTCCATACGTGGCTTCACTTGCTCAGCACCTGAGCAGTGTCCACCAGGGATGGCTCCACTTGTGATATGCAGCACGTTTGCCTGTAATGCCAGAGAGTCTACTCACGTTCAGCCAGGAAAGGTGATTTTTTGAGGGACTACCAGCGCTATTGTAGACATTTCACTAGAAATGTCAATATACATATGAAGCCAGCCCTCTGCCCCCTCACCATGCAAAACTGTCTCATACCAATAGCCTTCTGCAATCCAGCCACAATACATATTGGTTGGTACTGCTCACTCCTCTGCAGTAGAGAGGAAGGGCAGCTCTAAGCAGTGCGAGGCTGAGGTGGGTTGTTCACTCTCCTACCTGCCTCCTCTTCCTCTTCTGCACAGGTTGAACAGAGTGACAAATGACATCCTCACGGAGTATTGTGACTCCCTGGCTGTTGATATAGTCAGGTCTTTCTTCTGAGTGACATCTCCACAGCCCTGCTGATTTCAGAGGGCTGCATCAGCCCTAGTCGAAAGGCTGATTTGTCCTGCAGGGAGATCAGGTCAGGTCAGCAGATGGGGAGGATCAAGGGGAACTCAATAACTGGGTTTAATTCCTTATTAATTATAGGTTTCCTTGACTGCAGTGGATGCAGCAATGCCAGCTCCAGAGAAGACTCACAGTGAATTCCTCACTATGGAACAGTTATTTTCCCTGTTTACACTTCTCCCAAACCTTGCAGCCTCCTGCAATGTCTTTGATCACAGTCAGGCAAAGCTGGCTCTGGAGATTCAGAGTTCTGCTCCCAACTGTTGGCATGGCCCAAAGCCTGTTGTTATCCCTCCCTGGGCTTTAGCTCCACTTCTGCAACTTCAGGATAAAACCTCTCATGGATAATTGCAGTGACAACAGCTCCTGAAATACCAGGGCACAGTCTGTGCATTTTGGTTTCTCCTCCTCCACTCTCCAGCCCCTTTTCCCCTTTTGCTTTCCAGCCTGTGGGTGGATGGGAAAGATTTAGGAATGAAGCAATGCTCAGTGATGGGGAAAGAGCAGGCAGTAAATACATTCAGTTCTACTATATTTGTTGTTGCCCGCTAACGTAACGTATGCTGGTGCCTTGTTTGATAATAAGCTGGCCAGCCTTAGTATGTAGAATGTTATGCTGTAGGTCCTACATTAATTATGTGAATTCCAATTGTTTCTCCTCCCCTGCACTTTGTTTCCCCTGGCAGAGGAATAGATGTTTGAAAAGCAGGGTATTTACTAAAATGCAGATGTGTCAAGGTACAGCTCCTCTGCAGTTTCTGCTAGCTCCAACTTCAGCTGTTCCTGGATTTCTCATTGAAGAACTAGTGACATTTGTCCATGATGCAGGTTTGCACCCCCTGTCACTAGAGGTGCTCAGCCAGGCACAGTCTGACACCTTAAGAGTTTCAAAGCTGGAGAAGACACCAGAAGTGCTGACTGCTGCCAAAGGGGAAATGCAACCCCTCAGCTGCTCTCTGTGATCCCCTCTCTGCCAAGTCCCTGTCACTCATCAAAGGATTTAGGTAGCAATTTGCTGCTGCAGAGGTACTGCCATGGCACCACTGCTCTCCAGTGTGGAGTCAAAGGTCAGGGCACAGGTGCTCACTTGCACATACGGTTCCCTCAGGTGCATGTGCAAATGGGGGTTTGCACGGACCATTTGGTGTTGCTGATCTTTACTTGAGCTGCACATGATCTGAGACACTGAGATCTTCTGCAAAATGAACTCTCGAAACAGGGTTATTGTCTCAGAGAGTGTTGATCCATGCATTAAAATTCAGAGGTCTTAGAGTGACTCCCAAATTACAATATTCAGTAACAAACTAGTTTTCTGGGCTTCTCTAGGTCCCAACATGCTTAGGAAAGGCAGCCATAAGAGATACCATTTGCTACCCCTTCATCCACCATGGAAACAAAACCACAATCAAATTGAAAAGAATCAACTCACCATCACCAGCACAAAGGATTTCCCCTCAGACGCCACAAGCCATATACCTCTGAACAAGATGGGCAAGCTGGTTTCAACAGTCTTTTCTCCCCATGTCTTCTCCCATCTCACATGTATAACAGGAGGGCGGGAAGCACTGGAAAGGATTGCTTGGGAATTGTGGAAGTCTCCTATAGTGGACTTCTAAGAACTAGTGGGAAAAACATCCATCAAGAACAGATTGGGGAGACTGGCTCCTGGTTTGGGAAGGAGGAGCGGCCTTCCTGGTATCTGGCTAGTCCAGTAGTTGACTGTGATTTCTCTCTCTTTCATGTGTGCTATCCCTTGTCATGTTTATAGAGCAGATATGTGAGCTGGGTTAAACTAGATTCTGGTGACAGTGCCAGCATAGGTATTGTTCTGCTATGAAGGCATCTACAACATAAGATACTGGGCTCTGTAACCAGGAAGTCAATGAAAAGTGAGATGTGGACAGTTCATTGAAATAAATTCTTTCCCCATAGAACCATGAGAAGTAAACCAGGAAGCTGACATAGTTCTCTATTAGCAAAAATGCAGGTATCAATATGTAAAAATAAGTGGAATGAGTCATCACAGACCTGAGGTACTAAGTAGAGAGAGCGGCAGCTTAAAGCTGGGCTGTAAATCCAGAGAGATACCTGCCTGTTAATTAAATGGCAGTCCTTGGAGGAGGGAAGGAGGAGTTTGCCTCTTTCTCCGTCAAGGTGCAATTAGGAAAAGTCACTGTTTGTAGATTAAAGTGTCATTTGGGGTCAGGAGGATAGGAAACAATGTCCTGTTAAACAAGGAGGAACTCTGCCAGCTAATGAGAGCATGTCACAGTCTAGGCTAAGGAAATCGCCAGATATCCTCTGAAGGGGAACTGCATCTCAGGAGGGCAATTAGCAGGCTGTGCATGCAGGGTTGTAGCTGTTACGGTTTGTGTGGGCAGCCCAGGATGCGCTCGCACATGGGCATCCATCTGATTGGCATGCTGGGGGGGTTATCCCCAGCCATGCAAGCAACAATCTGCCTTTCCTTGGAT